AGAGTAATCCTTGCCCTTTGATTTTCTCACTCAATAAAAACCATGTGCCGTCCAAATATCCCATCATGAAGTCGTTTGTTACTTAAATGACATTTTTGATGTTTTTCATTTCTTTTAAAATATGAACTCGTCCTCTAAAAGCTGTATTTACTCTGCTTATCTGTCACTGTTAGAATTAGTTTGATGATCTGAAACACATCAGTGTGACAAATGCACCTGTTTCTGCACTCAGAGCTCTGCGTGTTGAATTTAACAGACTGGGTCGACAGGAAAACTGTTTTCCTTTCATAGACAGGTTTCATTGATCACACATCACGACCACGGTGTAAGAATGCAGCTGTGAGTCACTCACTTTGACTAAATGTGAGGAGAAACCGGCCTGAGCCATCTGCAGACCGAACCCTCGACCCTGACTGCTGGTTCCTGCAAACCGGACAAACAACAGAGATGACTTAACTTTTCCCTCCAGACACTCCAGTCCTCCTGTTACACTTTAATGAATATCATTAGATAATACTTTTCAGAGTTAATTGTGAAATGCTCGTTAGTACGATGTAAATACTACAGTTTAACAGGATAAATGTTAGCTGACCTTCCAGAGAGAAAATCCTCTCTCCCAGGGCGTCCACAATGTCCTTCAGCGCAGATTCATCTGTCACGTTGAAGAAGTGCATCTCATCGGGGTCGCTGGCAATAAACTTTATTTCCTTTAGAAAGGCTTCGGGGTTGATTCCCCGGCGGTTGTAATAACCCAGAACCTGCAGGAGATGCAGAGGAAACAGGATGTTAGTCAGAGCTCCGTAAGTCCAGAGACAACCAATAGAAACAGAGCTCGATGGGTGGGGGTGGGGGGGCTAAGACTCACAGCGATGGCATACATGGTGATGTTGTCTCTCTCGCTGTCTGTGACGGCCTGCACCAGGTGAGGACTGTCATGTGATTCACCGTCTGTAATCACAATCATCACCTTCTGAGCTCCCGGCCGGCCGCCACGCTGGAACGCCTCGGATCTGCACAGGAACGTCGGATGAAGTTCAGAAGATTCTCTGAACACTCGTTCTGGCTAATCTTAGCTAGCTGCTTGATGTACCTGCTGGTGTAGCTTGGTTGCTAACATTATCTCTATCTAAGTCCTCTGTGAAGGCACTTTGTTAGTTTTCATCCTTTTGTAGAGCTTGCTTTGGACTTTTCTTGGTAGTCGTCTCAGAGAGACTCAAACATCTTTTGGAAATCCTTGGCCTTTTGCTACGAGGCCAAGAAAAAGAAACCGGAGCTACGGCCTCCAGGAGCTGATGGGGAAAGAAAAACTTGCTTTGGCTGAAAAATGCTGGAGATGCTTCATCTGTGGGTTCATGTTTGATAACTTTTATGCTAACCATATGGACGTAATTAATGTTCTGACTGGTTTGATTTTGGTAGGTTTAGTAAATTATACACTAGGAAACTTTGGTTCAATCCATTTTCCCAACATGAGTAAATGGCTGAAATTCTCAGGGTTGCTCAGAGTAGCTGGGTAATGGTATCAGACCAATAACTATTTAAGGGTAAGTTTGCCCATTTGTGTTTGGGGTCATAATTTGGTGTCGTACCGGGCCACGTTGATTCCCAATGCCGTCCTCGTTTCCTCACCACCTCTTTGGTCGATGCGCCTGGCAGCGTCCACTACGTCCTCCACCGTCTGATACTCATCCAGTGTGAACTCGTGGACAACCGAAGAGCCGTACTGAATGACTCCCACCTGCAGCCAAAATACAGCTCTGTCCACATGAACAATAAACCACTCATGCAGCACCTTCAAACTATGAACAGATGAACTCTCTGAGATCTAAGTCGCCATCAGTGGTAACCCAACATTTTGGAGAAGGTCAAAATTGACTTTTTGGGGGGAAAATGTGAATAGTTTTGGTGTTGGCATGACATATTCTGACTGTGTGGGGTTTAGATGATGATGACTCAGACCTCAGAGGGTTAAAGGTACAGTCTTTGTGTGCAGATAGGGCAGGAAACGCTCACTTTATCTGGTTCTGATCAAGAGATAAACTAACCTGTGTCTGACCTGGTCCGATGTAGAACTTGTGCAGGATGTTTATGAGGAAGTCTTGAACTTCATACCAGGGGTAGATGGAGTTGGAACCATCCAGAACAATCACAATGTCCATGAA